TGAAATTTGGTCTCTGTCTACTTCAAAATAGTCTCCTTGGGAACATAAACATTGATCCCTGTTGATGTAGAAACTTCACAGTAATGCACATTCAGGTATTCAATGAGGTTTTCCTGGCTGACTCCGTAAATGTTTCTAATCTGGTGAAAGACTTGATGGATTGTTCTCTGTTGGCTTTCATGGATGATTACACAGAATTTTTTCCTATTTTCTTGTGTATTGCTGGTGATTATTTGCCCAAGATACACTTGGTAGAAGATGCCTCCATGATGAACAACCAACACCTGCTCAAGATTGGGCTGTATGTTGAATTCTCTATTGAACATCATGACAGATACAAAATCTCTCTCAAGAAGTCTAGCATGGAGTTACAAAAATATGTCCCAACCAGTGGAAATCTGAATTATTAACAATTGTTTGTGAATCTGGTGAAAGACTTGATGGATTGTTCTCTGTTGGCTTTCATGGATGATTACACAGAATTTTTTCCTATTTTCTTGTGTATTGCTGGTGATTATTTGCCCAAGATACACTTGGTAGAAGTGACAGATAAAAAAACTCTCTCAAGAAGTCTAGCATGGAGTTACAAAAATATGTCCCAACCAGTGGAAATCTGAATTATTAACAATTGTTTGTGATATTACTTTGCAAATTAACAATCTACAACAGTTACCTTCTTGGATATTAAGTAATTAACTTTATTTGCATAAAAAGCAAATGGCATTGGTGGAAGAATCAAGAAGAGTGTGCAGGTCACTCTTACAAATGGGAAGGGCAAAATCAGTATTCAAAATCTGTATTATTTATTTCAGCAAAAACACTATCTTCAAAGTGGCAAAGAGTCTCCTCAGTATTTTGCTAACTTAATGAAGAAAGCCAGGTGCCATAAATCACATTTAAAGGATTAAAAAAAAAAAAAAGAACATGAATTACAAAGATAACAGCAAAATTTCTTAAGCTAGATTTTGAAAGAGGACAAGAATCAGAGCAATTTCTCTGCTGTTAGATTGAACCATTTAAGGAATGTAATTATGTATCAGATTTATATCTCTGCTATTAGACTGAAACATATAACCAATGAAATTACTATCAGAGTAATTTCTCTGCTGTTAGGTTGAAATGTATGACCAATGTAATTACCATTAGAATGATTTCTCTAGTTTTAGGTTGGATATGTAATTATGTATCAAATTGATTTCTCTGCTGTTAGGTTTAAATGTATAACCAATGAAATTAGTATCAGAGCAATTTCTCTACTGTTAGGTTAAAACGTATGACCAATGTAATTACTATTAGAAAGATTTCTCTAGTTTTAGATTGGACCTTTTAAGCAGTGTAATTATGTATCAAATTGATTTCTCTACTGTTAAGTTGAAACATATAGCCAATGTAATTACTGTCAGAGTGATTTCTCTACTGTTAGGTTGAAACGTATAACCAATGAAATTACTATCAGCAATTCCTCCACTTTTAGGTTGAAATGTATATCAAGTGTAATTACTATCAGAGTGATTTCTTTACTGTTAGTTTGAAATGTATAATCAATGTAATTACTATCAGAGTGGTTTTTCTACTGTTAGGTTGAAACATATAACTAATGTAATTATTATCAGAACGGTTTTTGTACTGTTAGGTTGAAATGTATAACCAATATAATTACTATCAGAGCGGTTTCTCTACTTTTAGGCTGAACCTTATAAGCAATGTAATTTTTGCCATTAAATATGACTTCTTACATTTTGTAGGTTTATTTTAAAACAAATTATGTCTTTGATGTTGGTACATACATTATTTAGCAAGCATGATACTGAATATGGGCGACACCCTTCTCATTTTTATAGAAAATATCCCCCACCTCTTAAAAGAAAACAAAAATGAAGGAAATTTATATTTTTATTTATATTTTAAATATATTTTGTTGGCACATTTTCCTCCCTGAAAGGGATTAAATACTGATTATATGAAGGTATATTTTCTTTGCTTCCTCTTCCGGCTTCTTTTTTTTTTTTTTTTTTTTTTTTTTTTTTTTTTTTTTCTTTTTCTTTTTCTTGTTTTCTTTTCTTTTTTCTTTTTCTTTGTTTTCTTTTCTTTTTCTTTGTTTTCTTTTATTTTTCTTTGTTTTCTTTTCTTTTTCTTTTTTTCTTTTCTTTTTCTTTTTTTCTTTTCTTTATATCGTTTTTTTTTTTTTTGAATGGTTTTATAGGTCCATATCCAAAATATCACCTTCCCCAACTGACAAAAATTCACACTTACACAAAGTTTTAGTTTCTATTTAGAACTATTTATATAAATCTACATGAGCTGAAAAGAATTTAGGAAATCCAAATTGTTGAACGTCTCCCTTCATCTTTATTTACACACACGTATAAGTGTGTCTCTGTGTGTGTGTGTGTGTGTATATATATATATATATATATATATATATATATATATATATATATATATATATATATATATATATATATATATATATATATATATATATATATATATTTTTTAATGAGACTTTAAAGGTTTGCTGACATATCTGAAGTTAATTCCAATCATAAGACGCAAAAGAAACACCCTCAGCTTCCTTCGGGCAAATGTAAGCAGCCTTCTCATTTCCTCAGGATCAATGTTTAAAGCTGTTAACATTACCAATTAATGATAACAAGAAAACTTAACAGGAAGAAATACATGGATGCCTTTCTGTCGGTGCTAATGACTTAAACATCACCGATTTTATTTTGTTCATTTATTATTTACTTATAATTTTGTTTTTTTTAGTTTAAATTTTTTCTAAAGATGAAATTAATCGTATCTTGAATCCAATTCTCTAGAATGCAGCACCTGAACCAATGCAAAGCTCTCTAGACTTTGGACCAGTTGTGTGTCTGTTCTTATTATCAGTATGATATGCTAGAGGAATATTATTGATTTCCTGTGATTAAAATTTATGACTGCTGGACAATCTCTTCAAGTTTTGTCTTCATCTCAGACAAAACTTGGAGCAACCGAAATGTGGGGATCTACAGAAGGATGTTGAGAATACCATGGTCTGAACATGTGAGCAATGACAAAGTTTTAAAGAAAATCGAAGCAAAAATAACACTTATAATTAACACCAGAAAGATAATTGAAATTTTTAGGCACATAATGAGGAAAGAAGGCTTGGAAAATTTGATACTCACAGAACAGATTAAAGGCAAGATTATGTTTGTTTAGTGGCATATCAACTCCTTATAGGTCATTTAATGCTGAAATTTAATTTTCTTGGGTGCATTAATAATTTTGTTTACAAAAATGTATTGCTGGTATTATTTTTTTTTTTTTAAATGCATTGCTGATAATTTTTTACAAAAATGTATTGCTGGTAATTTTTTTTTACTATGAAAATGTTATGCTGGTATTTTTACTATAAAAATGTTTATACTTTCTTCGTGTTTTAACCCCAGTTTGGTGATTAACTATTTACCTATAGCTGGGACCCTAACAGGTGCTACCACCCTGGGTCAGAGTGGACCTGGGAACAACAGCAATTAAGAGGTGGTTCCATGCTTCTCAAAACCTCCTGATCAGGGACCTTGCTGTTGGATATAGTTTATCGTCATACCCTGGACAGGAAGGCAAGAGGGACAGAGGAAAACAACATATTATCTACTTAAAGTGAATATGAAAATGGATCACAAAACTGTTTAGGAAAGATAATGAAAAGACAAAATTTATTAAGAGTGGCAAAAAACATGAAATTGTGGAGGACACCTAGAAGAAGAACATATTGAATTTTAAGCCCTAAAGAAAAAGAACTGGGCAGGCCAGTTTCCTCCTCCCTCCACTTTGATTAAACTGCCAGTGGCCCCCATATATGCAGCCCACTAATAGAGTAGTGGCAACTGGTTTGAAGATCACATTGAGGTATATAGCTCACAGTCACCTGTCCTGGGTATGATGACAAACTACATCCACGTCCTGGCTAAGAAGATAAACTACATCCAAATGCAAGGCCTCTGATCAGGAGGTTTTTAATTGCTGGTGTTCCAGGTTCACCCTGACCCGGGGTGGTAGCACCTGTTAGGGTCCTAGCTATGGGCAAATAGTTATCCGCCCCCCATATTGGGGCCAAAACACCATGAAAATGTAAAAAATAGGTTTAATACCAGAAATACTTTGTAAAAAAATATTACAAGGTATACATTATTTTTGCAGGAAAAAAATATTACCAGCAATAAAAATTGTCTGCATTAAATAACCCATTGTGGTTGATATGCCGTAAAACAAACCAAACCAAACCACATAGTCATGATACAGTGTTGATGTCTATATCATCACTGTATATATCTATAAATGCTCAAACTCTAATATTCTTTCACTATAAATCAATATTTTATGTGTATTTTTGGCATTTTAATTTATACAAGTTTAGTTAGGGGCCAATGAAAGTCCTTTAACAAAGTCTTATATATTCTTTCTATATTTTGAACCATTTTCCTGGAATCCAGTACCTATTTAAATATAAATTGTTAAAATTGATTCGTTTTCTACAGCTTATCAACACTTTGCAGGTTATTTAAAGGCAGAAAATATTTTTAGATTGTAATGATTTACTGATACAATACTATGTAACCCATAGCTGGGGGAGAGAAGAGGTGGATTCATTCCTTTCCCAAGGGTATTTGCATGTAAGTGAATATAACAAACTTCACTGGAATTGGAACTTGGCTCTCCAATTTCCAATTGCCATCCATTATCCATTACACTACCTGCCCATGTAAGCATCTGGTATTCCTAAGCAGTCACCCATCTAGATGAACTTAATTTTGTTGATCGTGTGAGAACCCTTTTTTTTCTTCTTCTTCTTGAGGTAATTAATCCATAGCTGGAGGGGGAAGAGGTGGATTCATACACTTCCCAAGTATATTTGCTTGTAAGAGAATGTAACAAACTGAGCTGGAATTGAAACTCAACACCTCAATTAAAAATTCCAACCCATTATCCATTACATCACCCACACATGCAAGCTTACAGCACCTGGTATTCCCAAGTGGCCACCCATCTAGATACTGACCAGGCTTGACATTGCTTAACTTTAGTGATCATACAGGTACCAGTGTTTCAATGCATTATGGT